ATCCTAGTTTAATCATTGTGGTCAAAGAACACAATCCATATGATACAAGTTTTCCATTTTCAGTAATAGCTACCTCATTGCTTTTCAAACTTACAGTAACACTTGTTTGTCATTTTTCCAGGTTTTACTAACATTGTATATTAGGTTTCTGTTATGGCAGCACCCTTCTTTTAGATACTGATTTCTGCATCACTTGTACATTGTGTTACAATTCGCTCCAAAAGTTAGTGGCTTAAAACAACTATTATATTTGCTCATGATTCTGAATGTTGGTGGCCTGTTGGCTGGGCCATGTATTTTCAGCAAGCAATCCTGGGCTCATGTGACAGCAGCATTCTAAGAGGGCAGGCCCCAACACATAACTTTCCAGGACTCTGTTTGCTCAACATTTTGCAATTTGTCCCAAACATTTGTCCCATTAGCGAAAGCAAGTCATACAGCCAAACCCAGAGTTGATGTGGGTGGGATCTACACAAGAGTATAGCTATAGAGAGGCATGATCACTGGGGCTATTACTTTTACCTCAGTTTTCTTTCCAGTTTTGAAAAATTCTCGGCTATTATCTCTTTAGATACTGTCTTTTCCCTACTCCCTCTTACCTGCTTCTGGAATACCGATTTAATTCTCATTGTTTCCCATATATCTTAATCTTTCCCTCTTATTTTCTTTATTTCTGCTACTTTCTGGTCTATATTTATTTTTTCTGATCTGTCTTCCAGTTCTACCTCTTTAGTGATGTCAAATCTGCTGTTTAAATCTATCCAAACCTTTTAAAAAGTTTTGTTTTATTTTCATATATATATATATAATTTGCCCCTAGATCTACTATCTTTTTAAATAATGGTTTATTATTCCCTGCAGACATTTTCAGGCAAAACAGGAATTGAGTCTATCGTGTTACAAAACCTGGCTTGGTACTTAAGGTTCTTGAGTAGTAAGTGCACACAGGTACACGGCTGTGGTGGGGAGAAGCAGAAGCAGCTAACCTATCTACTGCTCTAAAGAATATAGTAGCTGAAAACTTGGCTTATGTTAATTTTGTTTGTGGTTTATATTAATGTACATTTCGCTTTCTTTAATAGAGCCTTTACATTTATCTTTATTGAACACAAAAATTCCACTAAATACCACTATAAAGTAAAAAATGTTAAAATGTTCAAGAGGAGGAATTGAGATATGGGCGTTGACTTTTTCCTCCTCTCTGCTCGAGCATCATTTTAAGTGGCTCTAAAGAGTAAGTCTCAGCCTTCCTCAGTAATAGCTCTGTCTCCCAAAAGATAGACACAAATGCAATTCATTAGTCTTTGTAATATTTGTCCTCTCTCTCAGGATTGTTGTGACTAGACCTAGAGATTGAAACTCAAAACTGCTTGAAAAGATGTAACAGCTTCTTAAGAAATTCTCTTTTAGTTGGCCTTCACTACGTATGCATGCTTTTGTGAATGATGGAATATGAAAGACCTATTGGGTAGTATTTTAGAAGATTACCCAGGGGAAACATAAGGAAAGAGTCATTATACTGCAGTGTGAATTTTAGTATATAGGGGATATGTCTGCAAAATAGCTTATGAAAGTTTGGTCAAACCAGAAACTTACTGGTGACTTTATAAATGGGCCCAGCCTCTAAGGAAAGGAATTTGGTACTTTGTAACAATATCCATCAGGTGTTTACGCTTCTTTGACCTCGTGACTCATGACTTAAATGCCAGGAATTTGTCAGAAGAAAATAATAGAAGAGCCTATAACATGTGAAGATATTCATTAAAGTATTGTTTATAGAAATGAAAAATTGGAAACAACATGAAACTCCAACATTACAGAAATGATTAATTATTTTAAGGAACATCTGCTCAGGGAATATTTTGCTGCAGATAAAATTGTGCTTCTGAAAACTATAAAGCAACATAAAGATACTTGATATGGTGCTAAGTGAAAAAAGTATAACATGATAATTTTTGAACCCCACTGATTGCAGCTATGTACATAGAGACTAGAAGGGAATATACAAAAGTATAATAGTTACAGTATTAGATGGTTGAGTTATTTTTCTCCTTCTTTTCCAGACTTACTGTACTGTTACTGTTTTTTAATGAAAAAATTAAACTAAGGATGTAGAAGGGTATGGGGAATATCAGGAGGGAGAGCCCTTTTCATATTTCTTTGGTTGGGGAAAAATGTTTTAAACTTATGCCTCTGCATTAAGACTATCTGACAAACGAGCCAATAGAATGTATTGTGTGTGTTCTCTTCCTTTTCTAGGAAGCTTTTTAAAAATTCATCTTCAGATAAAATTGAATATACTTTCCTCCACAGTCCTCTGTACTTTGCTTCTCTCATAGTGCCTGTTTTATGCCATTTCATTTGTTTTCTTGACCTGTTTCTATTAGATGTTAAATTTTTTTTTTTTTTTTGAGACAGAGTCTCACTCTTTTCCCTGGGCTAGAGTGAGTGCCATGGCGTCAGCCTAGCTCACGCAACCTCAAACTCCTGGGCTCAAACGATCCTTCTGCCTCAGCCTCCCGAGGCAAAGTGAAAAAGGCTAACCTCAAAGCTAAAATTGTCTGATTAATTTCTTTCTATTTTTGGTAGAGACGGGGTCTCGCTTCTTGCTCAGGCTGGTTTCGAACTGCTGAGCTCAAACAGTCCGCCCGCCTTGGCCTCCCAGAGTGCTAGGATTACAGACGTGAGCCACTGCGCCTGGCCTAGATGTTAAATTTTTTAGAGAACAGTGACCCATTTTTGTATTCCTTGCCCTTGGCATGCTATCTGGTCTGGCACATAGAAATTACTTTATAAATGTTTATTGAATGAATGTGTAAATGAATAAGATATTTCTTCAGTTAATTAGTTATCCAAGATATATTTGATTATTATTGATAGTAGATTCTTTTTGCATAGTTTTGGGGTAAGTAGAGGTGAGAGTTAGTTGCATTTCATAATTTTTACTATTATTAATTCTTCATATCGTGTTTTTTTCACATCAATTAGACTTTTCTGGGCTTTGAATATTACTGTCCAAATAAACTTTGCTTAAAGCTGAATTTTCACCCCTACTCATTAATTAATTAGTGATTTATAATTTTTAAATCATGTTTTAAGATTAACTATCAGTAATATATTTATATATTTTAATATGTTATTTTGGTATATAAAAACAAAGGAGTGGGTCTTTATAAATAATGAATTATCTGTTATGCCTAAAATGAATGCAGACTTTATGTAATATTTTCGGGGGAACATGTATTTTTTAATGCAATTGTGGGCATAAATATGGAATTTTAGAAACCTATCTTAACCCAATATTCCATTTTGATTGGAAAAGGTTTAAATGCCTTTGCTCTGTGTTACTTTAGTCATTATCAACAGCATGTGTTTATTAATAAATATTAATAAATATGTCTTTGTTACTTAAACTTACACTTCAGCTTTTCAATGATCTGTTTAAGAATAATGCAAACCGTGCTGAGACTACAGAGAGAAAGCAAAATCAGAATTATTTTATGGAGGTGATGACTGTAGAAGGAGTCTACGATTACCTGATGTATGTAGGTAAGATCTAAGTGGTTTATGTTAAGACCTGTTTTTCAGTCATCTATCTTATTTCTTCTATGATGCAAATAATGATTTTGAGTATTGCCCCATCATAAGTTTTTTTTTAATTGAAGGTACTTTTTTTTTATAAGAATTCAATATAATTGGTCTTGAACGTATTAAAGTTGCTAGCATTTGCAGATAAAATATTGACTGTTGTCATTTGTGCATTCTACATTAGAAAATGTTCAAAATATCAATTTATCTGGAACAACAAGGTATTCCATTTGATCCATTTCAGGACGGGTGGTTTTCCAAGTTCCTGACTGGCTTCATCATCTCTTAATGGGAATGCGAATCCTCTTTAAAAACACCCTGGAAATGTATACTGACTACTATCTTCAGTGTAAGCTAGAACAACTATTTCAGGAACACCGTTTGGTCTCACTCATAACACTTCTTAGAGGTTTGTGTTTTCCCATGTTTGTATGTTTTATGTACTTTGTGATTTTAATTGGATTTAAAAGACTTAGAAGTCTTGTTTTTGGTTTAGTATTTCTACGATGAGGAACTACTTCGTATATAAATAGATGAAAATTCCATAAATATTTTTTTTTTACTCTTTTTTTAGATGCTATATTCTGTGAAAACACTGAGCCTCGCTCTCTCCATGAAAAGCAAAAAGGAGCAAAACAGACTTTTGAAGAAATGATGAATTACATTCCAGGTGTAATATTTAAGAAGTAACTTAATTTAATATAGATTAGCACTCCTTTGAGGTCACAGTGCATAGTAAGCTGATTTTTGAAGCTGATTTTTACTGAGAGTTTTCATTTTAGAAATAGTATAAGGACCAATTAGTAGTATAAGGACCAATTAAAATTAACTCAGTTATATAAAATTTGTTTCTTTCCGATGTTAGCACTAAGAGCTTTAAGACAAGGCAGTTTCTACTCACATAATAGCCAGATTCTTTCAGCAATAACTTAGAATCAGATTGATCAAAGCGACATGTTGTAGGACAATTGGAGTCCTATGCCCACTACATGATCAGAATAGCTACAGAAGTGGGTATGACTAAAAGATCAGAATTCGTTCATTCATTCCAAATTTACTGAGCACCTTCCATGTTCCAGGGACTATGCAAAGTACAAGGAATATAAAAAATGTGTTTGAGTAGCTTAGTATAGCAGGAAGACAGACAGATAGATAAAACATACATGTGATAATAGAGACATGTTCATGTTACAGAGATATCACAAAGGAGGAAGATAGTCACCTCTCTTGCAGAGTTGGTAGGTTTGGGCCACTAAGTAAATGAATGATAGTAACCTCTGACTGTGGTAGAAGATACAAGGAAAAATGTCAAAGGATCAAATCAGAGGATAATTGATTTAGGACATTTTTAATGTGAAGTGCCTATAAATTATTCAGGAGGAAATGTCTAATAAGCAATTGAATATCTAGGTTTGGGCTCTTTCCCATCTTGCAAGATGGTGGGTGAAAAAGCTGAGAAGCTGGATACTAAAGAGAAGAAACCTGAAGCCAAGAAGGCTGATGCCGGTGGCAAAGTGAAAAAGGCTAACCTCAAAGCTAAAAAGGTTAAGAAGGGGAAGCCCCACTGCAGCTGAAATCCTGTTCTCGTCAGAGGAATCGGCAGATAGTCCTGATCTGCCATGTACTCTAGGAAGGCCATGTACAAGAGGAAATGCTCAGTGGCTAAGTCCAAGGTTGAAAAGAAAAAGAAAGAGAAGGTCCTCGCCACTATTACAAAACCAGTTGGTGGTGACAAGAATGGTGGCACTTGGGTGGTTAAACTTCGCAAAATACCTAGATATTATCTAACTGAAGATGTGCCTCGAAAGCTGTTGAGCCATGGCAAAAAACCCTTTAGCCAACACGTGAGAAGACTGCGAGCCAGCATCACTCCCAGAACCATCCTCATCATCCTCACTGGATGCCACAGAGGCAAGAGGGTGGTTTTCCTGAAGCAACTGGGCAGTGGCTTGTTACTTGTGACTGGACCTCTGTCCCTCAATCAAGTTCCTCTGCGAAGGACACACCAGAAATTTGTCATCACCACCTCCACAAAAATTGATATCAGCAATGTGAAAATCCCTAAGCATCTCACTGATGCTTACTTCAAGAAGAAGAAGCTGCGGAAGCCCAGACACCAGGAGGGTGAGATCTTTGACACAGAAAAAGAGAAATATGAGATTATAGAACAGTGCAAAGTGGATCAGAAAGCTGTGGACTCCCAAATTTTACCAAAAATCAAGGCTATTCCTTAGCTCCAGGGCTATCTGCGATCTCTGTTTGCTCTGACAAATGGAATTTATCCTCACAGATTGGTATTCTAAATTTTTACAAAGAACCTAATTAAATAACTGAAAGATCAAAAAAAAAAAAAAGAATAGGTTTGGAAGTTGGAGGAAAGATGGTACAGGGTAGATTAATAGAGATACGGGAATCATGTGTGAGTGAATACTAATGCCCAGGGAGAAAATAGAGAGTAAGAAGAGAGTGACTCCTGGTTTCTGGTCTGGCACATAAGAAACTGGAAGTTGCCACTCCATCCTAGTAACAAGTAAAAACCCGAAAAAAACTAAAAAATCAACAGCTCTTAGATCCACCAGAATGGTGGGGTCAAAGGCAAATCACTGCCCCCAAAATTAGAGAGACCAAGAGGTAGATAACAGAATCACAGCTAGCTGGAGCAAAAACCCATGAACTCAAACCTTTGTGGAAGCCATTGTTGAGGTGGGGAAACTTTGATGAATTTCTGGAGGCTCAATATGGACAAGTTTGAGAGATTAAAAACTCCAGAGGAACCAAGTCATGGTGGACCCCTCCATACTTTTGTGAGTTTTATCTCAGGGGCTTAACCAGGTTCCCACAGTGAATATTGGAGAAAAATCCCCTTGTGCTTCTCACAGAGAGAGGGGAAAAGGAACCATTTTGAAATACGTCAGAGTACTCTGTTCATCTTAATAAACCCTGCCCTCAGGAGAAACTATTAATATTTATCCAGAGCCTAATTGACCTAGAGGAAGGGAAATACCCAACTCCAGCCACTGTGATCTTCAATATGGAAGAAGGGAAATAACTCCAGTCTACTGTAGCCATCCTGTCATACCTAAGGGGGATGGGGGAAACCCCTGAAGCGGGTGTGAAGTTCACAGTCCAGTGGTATAGGCTCAATAAAAGACTGAGACCTATTCATAGGACTGTAGAAACCTTCCTCGCTGTGTACCTCACCACCACATTACTAAAGGCCTATTTATGGCAGTTCCTATTACCCAGTGCATCATGTCCAGCTATCAAGAAAAAATTACAAGACATGCTAAAGGCAAAAAAACAGTTTGGAGAGAAAGAGCATCAGAACAGACTTGATATAGCAGGAATGTTAGAATTATATACCAGACCAAGTGGGATTTATCCCAAGTATTCAAGGGTAGGTCAACATTCATTCAAAAATCAGTTAATGTGGTCCATTACACCAACAGGTTAAAGAAGAAAAATCTTATGATCATAACAATAGATGCAGAAAAAGCACTTGATAAAATCCTACAACCACTCATAAAAAATAATCTTCTAGGAATAGAAGGGAACTTCCTCAACTTGATAAAAAAATCTACAAAAACACCCCGTAGCTAACATTATACTTAATGGTGAGGAACTTGAGGCTTTCCCACTAAGATCAGGAACAAGGTAAAGATGTTCCCTCTCACCACTGTATTTCAGCATTGAACTGGAAGTCCTTGCTAATGCAGTAAGGCAATAAAAGGAAATAAAGTATACTGATTAGCCAGGAAGAAATAAAACTGTCTTTGTTTACAGGTAACATGATTGTGTAGAATATCTAAAAAAACTAATAAAAACACTCTTGGAACTAATAAGCAATGATAGCAGGGTTGTAGGATATAAGGTTAACACATAAAATTCTATCACTTTTCTTTATACCAGCAATGAACAAACAAGTGGTATTCGAAATTAAAAACAATACCATTTGCATTAGCACTCCTAAAAATGAAACACTTAGGTAAAAATCCAACAAAGAAATCAAAGAAGAACTAAATAAATGGAGAAATATTTTATGTTCATGAATAGGAAGTCTCAGTATTTTCAAGATATCAATTCTTCACAACTTGATCTATAGATTCAATGCAATCCCAATTCAAGTCCCAGTAAGTTATTATATTTTGTGAGTATCGACATTTTGAAGATTATATGGAGGGGCAGAAGAACCCAGAATAGCCAACTCAATATTGAATGAAAGAACAAAGTCAGAGGATTGACACTGCTTTGCTTCAAGACATACTATAAAGCTACAGTAATCAAGACAGTGTGATATTGGCAAAAGAATATATGAATTCAAATAGATCCATGAAACTCAGTAGAGAGCCCAGAAATAGAACCAGATAGATAATGTCACCTGATCACTGATCTTTGACAAAGTTGCAAAGGCAACACAATGGAGAAAAGATAGTCTTTTCAACAAATAGTGCTGGAATAACTGGACATCCACATGCAAAAAAATGATCAGACACAGACCTTACATCCTTCACAAAAATTAACTCAAAATTTATCGTAGACCTAACTGTAAAAAGCAATACTATAAACTCATAGAGGATAACGTAAGAAAAAATTTAGATGACCTTCAGTTTTGCAGTGTCTTTTTAGTTGCAACGCCAAAGGCATGAGCCGTGAAAGAAAGAATTGATAAGCTTTACTTCATTAAAATTTTGCTTTGTGAAAGATACTGTCAAGAGAATGAGAAGAGAGGCCACAGAGTGGGAGAAAATATTTGCAAAAGACTTACCAGATTAATACTGGTACCTAAAATATACAAAGAAATCTCAAAACTCAACAATAAGAACACGAAGTACTTGATTTAAAAATTAGCCAAATACCTTGACACCTCACCAAAGAAGATATATAGATTGCAAATAAACATATGAAAAGATGCTCCACATCATGTGTCATCAGGGAAATACAAATTAAAACAACAATGGGATACCACTACACACCTATTAGAATATCCAAAATCTAGAACACTGACAACACCATTTGCTGGGGAAGATGTGAAGCAACAAGAACTCTTCATTCATTGCTGATAGGAATGCAAAATTGTGTTGCCACTTTGGAAGACAGTTTGGTGGTTTCTTACAAAACTAGACATACTCTTAACATAAGATCCAGCAATTGTGCTTCTTGTTATTTATCCAAAGGAGTTGAAAACATGTCCACCCAAAAACCTGCACATCAATGTTTATAACAGCTTTATTCAAAACTGCCAAAATTTGGAGGCAAGCAAGATGCCCTTTATTAGGTGAATGGATAAATAAACTATGGTACTTACAGAAAATAGAATATCATTCAGTGCTATAAAGAAATGAGTTATCAAGTCATCAGAAGACATGGAGAAACCCTAAACTCATGTTATTGTGTGAAAGAAGCCAATATGAAAAGACTACATGCTGTATGATTCCAACTATATAACGTTCTGGAAAAGGGAAAAATAAGGAGACAGTAAAAAGATTAGTGGTTGCCAGAATTTAGGGGGGAGGGATGAATAAGTAGAACACAGGATTTTCGGGGTAATGAAACTAATCTGTTTGATACTATAATGGTGGGTACATGTCATTATACACTTGTCCAAACCCACAGAATGTACAACACCAAGAGTGAACCCCATTATAAATTACGGACTCTGGGTGATAATGTAGGTTTATCAGTTATAACAAATGTACAGTCTTGTGGGGGATGTTGAGAATGGAGGAGACTGCATGTGTTGGGACAAGGGAGTACATGGGAAATCTCTATACCCTCAGTTTTGTTGTGAACACAAAACTACTCTAAAAAACAAAGTCTGTTTTCAAAAGAGAAGAGAAGAGTGCTTAGGACAGAATCTTAGAGAGTTCTCAGCATTGAAGAATTATTCTTGAAATAGTTCTGTTGGTCTTTGTGGAAACAATTAAGTTAAATACCTGGTCTGCATATGAAAGTGAACATAAGCTATTTTTGAGTAAGTTTTCTGTAGACAAATGATGAAATCATTTTTTACCCGCTTTGTAATATAGTGACCCTTAGCATTCATACTTTTAATGGTCTCAGTTTTGATATTCAGGACCAACATGGAAAACCAGTGAATATACTAATGTGTTATTTTACTGAGGCACAAGTGTGAACCACATTTTCTTTAAGAATCCCGTTTGAAAAGAAGTAACTTAGTTCTTAAGCCTAGCATGCCTTTCTGTTATCCTGTATTCTTACTTAGTGACACCTCAAGGATCTCAAAGATCACATATATTTGTTCATTAACTTCATGCATATTAGTAATACTTGGGAAATTCCATGGAGTATTGGTTAATTTGAATATTCACCAAAGATCTATATTGGGCTAACATATCTTGAAAATAGCAAGGATATACTATGCCCATTGTAAATTGAATTTAGCCTTTGCCTCTTAGAATTAGATTTAACTTATAGAACCAAGCATAAAGGGAGAATTTTTTATGAATAGCGCAAAGTTTAGTTACAATGGGGGGAAAGGGCAAATATTTGACTGCCTTGTTTACTTAAGAATAATTTGTTTTTTCTGCTTGGGGAAAACATTAAGTGGAGACTTGTTTTTTTTATTTCAAAACATTGAGGGGGTACAAATATTTTAGGTTACATGGATCACTTTTGTAATGCTTGAGTCCCAGTTACAGGTGTGACAATCACCCAAATAGTGTTCATAGTAACCATTAGGTAGCTTTTTTTCTCCTCCCCTGCTCCTCCCTCCTCGCTGGTTGATTTCCACTGAGTTTTACTTCCCTCTGTGCACATGTGTGCTCATCAGTTAGTTGCAATTTAATAGTGAATACATGTGGTGTTCGTTTTTCCATTCTTAAGATACTTTACTTAGGGCCGGGCGCGGTGGCTCACGCCTGTAATCCTAGCACTCTGGGAGGCCGAGGCGGGTGTATTGTTTGAGCTCAGGAGTTCGAAACCAACCTGAGCAAGAGCGAGACCCCCGTCTCTACTAAAAATAGAAAGAAATTAATCGGACAACTAGAAATATATAGAAAAAATTAGCCGAGCATGGTGGTGCATGCCTGTAGTACCAGCTACCCTGGAGGCTGAGGCAGAAGGATCACTTGAGCCCAGGAGTTTGAGGTTGCTGTGAGCTAGGATAACGCCACGGCACTCTAGCCCAGGCAACACAGTGAGACTCTGTCTAAAAAAAAAAAAAAAAAAAAACGGGCGTGGAGGAGAGAAATGCCGTAAGACCTAATACAGTGGTTCATTTTCAGGAATTGGGGTTGACAGTAATATGAACACTGGCTTTTCAAGTCTCAGGTGAGTTCACCTGACTTAAAAAAAAAAAAAAAGATAC